AGAGGGGGGGGGGCAGGTATAGAGAGCGACAGGTGCGCGGGCACCCACGTGGGTTCTTTGAAGCGTCGTCGCGGATGGTGGAGGAGCGAAGAAGAAGAAGGAGAAGAAGAAGAAGACAACGATGACGACAACGACGAAGATGACGAAGAAGACGAAGAGGATTACCGGCCGGCTTCCTTGTGCCGGCCTGAACAGACCGGCACCCGCTCCACACTCGAGTTGCCCTCACGCCAAGTACACGTGGAGGGGTGAATATCGCACTGGCGTAGAATCCACTTTGCCGGGGATATATCACGTTTCTTTTCCCGTTTACGCGTGGGTGTTGTACACGTTTATTAATGTATCAGTTGCTTGAAAGACGAATTATAGATGTTACAAAGAGATCTGTAGCTCTCCTCTATTTCTTACCTCGTTCTTGCGAGATCACTGTAGATTTTTCGATATCTCATTCAATCGAGGACGTTGTTAACAGTGATTCGATCACATGACAGTGAACGGCTGACGAAGAGCGGGGAAATCCAGTCGTGGCCGGTCGGATATCCCTAAGGCTATTTCTCGACTACGCCGATGAAAAAGACCGCGGCGAGAGCCCGGCGTGGAGAGTGGGAATAGGTAGTTTCTGGAGGGGAAGGGCTAACCATTCGGTAGCAAATGCTGGTAACCCGTCGCAAGGTCAAGATCAGTCGGTTAATCCCATCCAGTCGGCTGAGGGCCTTGCACCTTGCACAACGAATAATTCTGCCTCTCCGTTTGTTCGCAATACGTATATATGTTAGCTCGCGCTTCAACGCGATATACGTGACAAATAAATTAACGTGTGATTAACTAGCTACCGTCGCGATACAATAACGCTTGGAGATTAAATAAATTGTTTTTAAAGAACGTATGGCCTTATCCGATCTACGTTGAAATTCGTCAGCGATGGACCTTTTATGTGACACGCTATCTACAAACATCTAGTGTTCTACTGGACCGTGATAAATGTGTTTTGATTTTGTCCCACCGAAACGTTCTATTTTAATATTACGGATGTGCCCAAAATAATTATTCGTTAAGTGAAAGTATCCATACAGTGTGGTAAATCCTTAAAATACTTTCCACGCGGGTACCTGTTATGGAAACTTGCGTATTGATACCTAGAGAATTTTCCTTGGTCCTCACCAATGATCAGTCATCCTGCAAAAATCTCTTCAAGAATGATTCGAGTACATTAGACGTGAGAGTTTCGGTATGGTCAAATGTGTTTATACCATCGGGAACCTTGATCTATCCGTTTCAAGGATCAATTAGGTTCGACAAGATCGATCTTTATTCCCTCCTTGATGACAATGATGTAAGTATGAGAACCGCATATTTCACATAAATACTTTTATATAATTTATATTTAAAAAATCTTTATCTTTACTTAGCCTGCTATAATACGATTTAATATATCGTGTTATAGCACCAATAAAAAATATTATATCAGTTTTAAACAATAACAATAAAATAATGTATAAATGAAAATGTAACAAAATGTAACAAAATTATTCTAAAAAGATTAAATTTTAGATGTCTATATTAATTTAAATATGGCTCTCTCTCTCTCTCTCTCTCTCTCGTGTAACTTTCAATGCTATCATTCAGCATAATATATACAGGGTGTACTAAAACCACCGGATATCCTTTTAATCGCAGATTCCTTAGAAAATTTCAAGAGGAAAATTCTAATAAAAAAAATGTCGAGGCTATGATAGTTTTCAAATAATAAGTGATTATATTTCACAAATGACAGGTCTGAGATTTCGCGCGCTCAGGCACGGCGACATGACGAGTGATAAAAGTGTTCCTATGTGTTTCGCGAGCGAGCGAGAACCAAAGTCACCGTTTAACGGGACAGAAAATATTTGAGAAGACGTTGATCCGGTTATTTTGAAAACTTGAGGATAAAGAGAGGCAGGAGACTAGATTGAATCCAACTGAAAATTCCAAGTTCACTCAGAATATCGGAGATCGACTAGATCGAAGGATATCAGTCTGATTAAAATGCTCATCATAGTGAATCCATCCCTTTTATTAATAAGACGTTACACAAAGTTAACGAAAGAAATGGTTAAAGATAACAAGAGGAACAATTAATTCGAGAATGAATCGTTAAGTCTGTTGTGAAAGTTGTCGCTATGCTAAAAAGGGCGATATTCGTAGCAACACCTTTATCACTTGTCGTGTCGCCGTACCTGAGCGCGCGAAATCTCAGGCCTGTCATTTGTGAAATGTAATCGCTTATTATTTAAAAACTATTATAGCCTCGACATTTTTGTATTAGAATTTTTGTCTTGAAAGCTTCTAAAGAATATATGATTAAAAGGATATCCGGTGGTTTTAGTACACCCTGTATATTTATTTTATGTTACACATATATTGATATATCGCTTTGCACTCCATGAGAAAAAATTGTTATCAATATTACTTGACACATATCAATGTGTTACCGAAAAGGAATTCGATATCAATACACATATCGTCGATGTGCTTTTAGATCAGACGTGAATACGGCTGCTACGATGAAGTCTTCTTTTCCAATTACAATCTTAACAAGCGACAATGCAATTGGATAAGATTTCTTCGTATTGTTCAATCGTATGATGAACAAGTTAATCTAATCGGTACAAAGGTAAAGGGTAAGTTGAAAGCAACATAAGTTTTTTAATCGTACACTGTTGTACACGGTGTGGAACACTTGCTTATATTATTAATATAACTTTATTTATCGTGTAAAAAAAGAAATAATAGAAGAATTAAACCAAATATGTAATACAAATTATAAATTAAGTAATAAAAGGAAAAAGGAGCATTAGTAGTTTTCTTTTGAGATATCTTGTTTATTTTTCACATATTACTTGTTTCTTTTGCTATGTTCGATCTTTCACTTTTTGATTTAAAAAATAAAAAGATCTCGTAAGCGGTTAAAAGTTTTGGTGAAATAATATTTAAAAGTTACATGGTTGAGATATATTTTAATTGGAAATCGTTTATAGTCTGTTGAGAGTATTTTAATGTTAATATCTTCTCATTTCGTATCTTGCTCTATTTTATATATTTTTCTTATTTGTCATTTCTTCAGGTGAACCTATATTTGAGGTAATAAAGAACGTTCAACCGGACACCGAACTAGTGGCTTGGTTCCTGCCAGTAACGCAGCAGGACTTTGTTATCATTTCGCACGATGTATGTTCCAGATCGGCAATCTACAGGTGTACGATTGATTCAATTTTGGACGGTAAGTGAAAGACGTAGGTATAAGCTTATTTAGAGATATTATCACTAAACATTATTGGGAAAATATCTTTTCAATGTACTTGAATTATTTGTAAGAAATTTCCGGGAACTTTGGCAACATAATCTCGTCTCTCCCATGTCTAAACCACGAATAAGCATTTGACATGGATTGTACTTTTTGGGTGAAAGATTGTGACAAATAAAAATTTAACAAAACAGAAAAATATAAAAGCTTGATTTAAAACATAAATTGTGATTGTTTCAATTGTAAGTTGCCATTTCTCAAATTGCACATTCATGACATTGGCAAAGAGGAATGATATAAAACTAATTCTGGGTCAAAAATAATTTTTTTTCTTCCAAAAATCACTTTAAATGTTATATAAAAATATAATCGCTTATTATTCTCAAGTTATTGATAAGAAGAAGAAGGTAATATATGCAGTAGTAGTGCAGAGTGTGTACATCTACTAATAAAAGTTAAAAGTAGTACAAAGATTACAAAGAATATTTTTAATAGTTAAAATATAAAAGCAATTTGTTTATGAATTGTAAGTTTAATGAAACTTCCAAATGTAATTTCTCGTGAAATACTCACCCGTATTAAATAATAAAAAAAAAATAAGTTACAGGTTACAGTTATAAAAAGAACGAGCCTGTTACCTATTGTCATTTGAGATTTTTAAAATCTAAATTATGTAATTCGTATTTACATACCAACTTCATTGTTTCATGTCCAATTTCGTTTTGTGCTCTCTCATTTTCAAATTTACAAAGAATATCACGGTCCGATATTGTAACTAAGGATCGCCTAGCTATCTCGCAGCTATTGTACTGTCCTTTATCTTCGGTTTGTGCGCGCGGGAATGGTGGCAGCCTGCACATTTGAATCGGAAATCGCGTACCTTTTGTGATCCTACCGACAAAAATGCCGACCGCGTATTTGCATTTCAGATCGTTTTCGACGATCCTGTTGTTCTTTCTCCGATTGCACTGCGATTACTGCTAAACGGCCGTAACAGCGATCGATCGGTAGGGAGATCAAAGATCAACGTGGAATTGCCGCAACTATTTTTCTTTCATTTTCACTTGATTTTACTTGGCTAGAATAAATAAAAATTATTTTTATAACTTATCCCCCCCCCTCTCTCTCTCTCTCTCTCTCTATTCTAAACCGCTTAAAAATGAAATCAATAGATAATTTTCATTTTTATTACTTATCACGCAGAATCCCCGCTGGACTTATCGATGACGCTACTCGCTCATCATTCTTTACCACCGATATCACACTCTTATTACGAGTTGGATGAATACGAATCGACGTCCGAGGAATCCTCATCATCGACGTTATCGTTGGCCGGTGATCACCTCGATTGCAGTATCCTGACGACAATTAAGAGAGGAGAGAGGGTTTTATTACCCTGCGAGGTCTGCGGCAAATCCTTCGACCGGCCGTCTCTCCTGAAACGACATATGAGAACGCATACAGGTATGAAACGAAGTGCTAGAGTTTATGATTAACTCATTCGAGCAATGAGATTTCTTTGTATTTAACATTGACCTGTGATATTTTATACATAGGAAAATTACGTATGGAATTAATCGACATTTTGTAATTTCCGGATATCTTAAAATGCTGTTGCCAGATTCAATATAAAGTTTTGGACACCATTCTTATCAAAAGTCACTATTTCCAATAAAATTTTTAAACGCAACAAATTTTAATTAATATTAAATTTTATTAACAATTAAAAAAATAGTAAAGCTATATTTCTCTCATGTAAAAAGTAATTCAGTTTGATTTTTCATTCTAAAAACTTTCTATCTTAATATATTATCCTTTATTAGAAATTCAAATCAATTGTACTCCGTTTCAATCATTTAATCAAGTTTATTTGAACAATCTTAAAACAAGAGAAAATCGTAAAATGTTTACGTACATCTCGATATGATATTTTCGTCTTCGTAAATTAAATAAATTGTATAATAGCTCGCCTAAGCTGTTGCACGATTTATGGCAAGTTGCACAGTTTTTCGAAATCACGATTGTTTTTGATAATGGAAATAAATTATATGCGTTTAAAAAGAAACAGAAACTGTTGCGCCACGTTGTCTATGTATAAATCGAGCCAGAATCATAAAATGTAAAAAATTAGTGACGGTAATTCAGGAACAACATTAAATTGAAGGGGAGAAACCGCATGTCTGCATGGTGTGCAACAAGGGTTTCTCAACCTCGAGCTCGTTGAACACGCACAAGCGCATTCACAGCGGCGAGAAACCTCATCAGTGCCTCGTCTGCGGAAAGAAGTTCACAGCCTCGTCAAATCTCTATTATCATCGGATGACTCATATCAAGGTGAGTGTTCGATATATATTTGTTACATATATAATATAGTTTCTCCATTTTTCTTCATAAAACACTTGTCTACAATTTAATGCCTATATCATGTATACAGTGAAATCACAATCTTCCAAAATTTTATTATAATTCTTTCATTTTGATAATTTACCTAAAATAAAAATGTTGTTTCAATCATGTGAATATTTCTATTTTATGGTCAAGTAGTAAATTATAAGTAATGGAGAAGCAGAATAGGGAGAAAATTCTTCAGTTTTATGAAGATATCATTAATTACGGATCAATTTAGTTCATTTATAACATAAATAAATCGGCAATAATAATATATGTAACTTAATCAGTTTGATTCTTTTGACTCTTCTCTCTTATGTACACATTTCTAGATTATACATACTACAAATTACAATATTTCCTTCTCACTTTCTTTTAATTTAACTTCTGTCTGAATTAATGGATATCCACTTATGAATCAAAATGATGTATTACATTTCAGAAATCTTATATTATCCGAAGCAATTGATATATCTCTTTCGATCAAATGTGTATCTTTCAGTGAAAATTTATTACACTTTATTGAGATACTTTATTTACACCTTTATTTACACTAATTGTGATTTTACTGTAATTCCCTGGGAAAAAAACGTTTATATCTAATCATATATGAGTACATCTAACTCAGACATAAGCATGTATGGATTTTGTTCCTAGCCAATTATATGAGACGTAAATGTGAGTTAGATGTACTCAGATATGATTAGATACAAACATTTTTTTCCCGGGTTTGTAGAATATACATTATGATTACTATTTTAATAATTTTGTTAGTAAAAGTCAGCATATGAGTTTGACATAATTTTGTTTAGATAATAATAAGTAATAAACCAACTTATTGGTCAATCATTATTATCCAAAAGTTGGATAACAACAATAATAATAATAAACTAAATAATCGGCAACAAAAATTTATAAAAAAGAATTTAAAATAAAGTAAATTCAAATCCTAAGTTTAAACGACAAATATAAAAAGTCAGGATTGTTTAAATTATAGTTTAAGTAATTATTTATTTTAATATACTAAATAGAAATAAGAATAAATAAAGTAGTCAATAATTGTTTTTTAATCGTTAAGAGCTCCTAAATCCATTAAAGAAACACTGTCCATGAAGATTATTCAGAAATGTAAAAGAAGAATAAAATACATACACGACAAAATAATAAAATATGCAAAGTTTACTAATAATTAAAATAAAAGAAAGTCAAATATTGGATAAGTGAGCGGAAATGGTTAATAATAAAAAAAAATTATTATTGGAGAGAAACAAACAATAAATTATTAATAATTTAATGAAATAAGAAATACAAAAGACTGAATACAGTATGTTATCTGCTTACCTGTATAAATTTGATCTCATCTCTATCTATAATCGCTTGTAAAATTTAAGAGCAATAAAAATCTTTTTCGCAAGAGTAGCCCAGGACACAAGTTGCTATAAACATCAATTTCAAATTGTCGGAATTGTCATTAATCGCGGACGTTCGTAATCTTCTTACGTGCTTGTACCATGCGTGTTCTCAACCTCTTTGCCTTTCGCGTAAGCCTGGTAGAATTGGAGTGTCTAATAAAAAAAAGGCCGAGCGATGATGATGAAAGACGATTGAAGAAGGAGTAGTGCATGCGCGGGAACAGCCGAGGATGCAAAGTTTTTATTTATCACAGCGGAAACTGTATGAGTTTCTCTAATCCTACCCGAAGTAATGATATCTCGGTAGCCATATAGGTTGGTCTGTGCCATCAGCTACTGTAATTGGCCCATTACTTGCTACCGCATGGAATGCGATCCAATTAGAGAGACAGAGAACGTACGGAGCCGGAGGCTCCTCGCCACGTTACTCACCCTCCTGGCTCCCTTCCCCCTGCTGCTCTCTTGCACACGTTCTGCAGTCATCCCGCTGCTCCTTCCGCGCGATTTGTTTTGCTCCGATTTTCCCTTTCCGCCTCGCCGTTTTTGCCTCTTCTCGCTCTCCTTCTTGCTGCAAAATTCTTCCGAATTTCATCTCCTTATCCGTCTCACGAAATTCTTAATGCTGCAAATGTTTCGACAAAAATTGGGCATACTTAGTTGTAATGAATACGTTCGGTACTTTATTGTTCTAATTGTTGCGCGACTGCTGTTTTCTGTAAATAGAACACAATTGATGTTTATTATTGTGATGCTTCTCATATCTGACATTATTATTATAAATTAATTTTTGCGCTTTTACTTTTTGATTTTATTTTCTCGCTTAAAAAACTTGTTACAAAACGATAAAGAGAAATTTAAAATTCTTGGTGCTAGAAGGATGATATTTTTATATTTAAACGATTAAACACAATGTTCTACATGCATTTTATATAACTATAATTTATCTCATTTAATCAACAAGTGATAATTTCATGTTAATAAAGATCTATTTCAATTAAATGTAGAAATTTTCGCAGTGTCCGACGTCTTTATAAAAATCCTATTTTTATTACGACATATTCTTATCTAATTAATAATATAGGAAATCTCAATTATTACATGGAACACAGCTTAGTCCTTAATCATGTGTCTTTGAAGCCCTTTGAAAAGTGTTTCGAGCTTCAAATTTAAAAGGCAAAAGTTCACGATTAATTTCTTTTAAATATTCACGCAATTATTTTATCGTTTGCAATTCGCTTCTTTTATATGTATAGCTACGAACGCCGAACCAAACCTCGCAGAGCGGGAATTTACGCACACGTGTTCAAACACGTATCGCACCCCATACGAGCAGGTGCATCCGAGATTACGCGTGTAAACGAGAGAAGGTATATCGTGTGCACGCACACGCGTACATCATGCAGAAGAGAGAAGAGGCGACGTGTTGCAGGCGGCCTTAACGAGCCGCGTACACACACCGGTTTTAGTTTAGCAAGGTTATTTGCTAAATGGCCTTCCTGCCTCCGTGAATAATTGCCACTGGATATGCCGAGAGCGCGACCGAACCATTTTTAATCGTTCGTCAAAAAGGCCCCGCCGCTAAATCATCCCGTATGATTTTCAAAATCGCGTATTCTTTGTCAAATCGTCAATTTTCTGAATCTACTTAGCCTTAGCAAAAAATCCATGACAAGCAGAGATTTTGATTCTAAAATTATGTATCTAATATTGAAATTTAGAAATTGCAATATAAATCCGAGAAGTGCCGTAAGAAAGATAGGAAAAGCAAACATATTTTATTATATACAATATTGGGTACCCAATAAACTGTTCTGTTGCAACAGAATATATAGATGCTACTTGTAAAATTTCCAATTAATTACTTTGATAGTTAATTTCCAAATATCAGTTAATACGCAGTTTCAAAAATGTTATTCTAAAGCGTGGTCTACAATGGCAGTAGGAGTAGTGGATTAAAGAAGTAGGCGTTAGACATAGGCTGTAGGATTAAGGTCCCCTTACGCCCGAGTGTCTACAATGGCGTAGAGTAAGGATTATAATGAGCCAATCAGTGTTAACCAATGTTATTACACAAATGTTACCGTTGTTGGTGAATATGGATGTGCGAAGAATTGGATTTGTGTTATTTATATTATTATGGAGTCAGCTCTTGACTCTTCAATGGCGTATTATGCAAACGAAGAGATCTATCGGTCGGAGGTGGTGGGTTCGGCCTGTGAACAGGCGCAAACGAGATCAGGGTTTCAACTTTAACTTATTTCGTGAGCTGATTATCAGTGGCTGAGAGTAAGGGAGTAGGTCGTACGAAATGGAATTGAACCATTTTGCTTACAGCCTTACTCTACGCCTACTACACCGGAAACACGAGCTTACTCCGACGTCTTACAGCCTTAATCCACTACTCCTACTGCCATTGTAGACCACGCTTTATGTTAATGAAAAAAACGAAGAATATATAAAAATGTACAAAATCGACTCGACCATCGAGGCACATGGAAATATTCATCATAATAACGAATCATTGGCTGTATTCAGCAGGAACAACAATTTGGTAAGCGCTTGGCAAGTCTTCATTACAATTCGTTTCTATACTTAGAAACCAGTGAGAAACTAACAAAAAAGCAGAGCCCAATCATATAAAAAATTACTAAGCGCTATTAAGATGCTTGTCTGCTGAACACAGCCAATGAAAGCTGATGAAAAACATTACAGAAACAGCATGATTATTTCCCATAAAGAATCTGATGGTTCAATTGTCTGTAAATTTGAATTACTTCGTCCGCATTCACTGTAAAATATTTATTACGCTTTTCCAGGAAAAACCACACAAATGTTCACAATGTTCAAAATCATTTCCGACGCCGGGTGACTTGAAGAGTCATATGTACGTGCATAACGGACTGTGGCCATTTAGATGTCATATTTGCAGTCGCGGTTTCAGCAAACCAACCAATTTGAAGAATCACATGTTGCTCCATCTGGGCAGATGCTCCAACAAGAAGTACATCAAGTCTATCTCTGACTTTTGATCGACTGTTACAATTTGTAATAATTTTACTTAAAATTTTGTTAATTACTAACGTATGCATATATGTATACGGATAATTTGCATTGTTGGTCAAAAACCCATAATTTAATGAGACAACAATGTGTGAACGCAATTCTACTGTACGGCGATTGATTCAGGTCATACTTAAATACATTGTATTTGATCTCATCTCCATGTATCGGATATTCGTGTACTTACTACTAATTTCTTGCAATTATAAAAGATTGAAGTGTTTGAAGGTTCTTACTGAAGAAATAAGAACTACTTTGCTAAAATACAAAATGTTTTATTTAGTGTTTTAATTATAATTTGCGAAACTGTAGTGCATTAACATTAGGAATCCAACTTTTGTCTGAATATTCACTATCTGAGGAATCAACAAGATTTAATAATAACTTCAAATACTCTCCCCTTTCTGTTGTATTCAATTTAGAATGATAACACAAGTTCTAGTAGTGAATAATATACAAATATTTCAGCTGTTACTAATGCTCGAAAACTTTCCATCACTTGCGTGACATTTTTTTTTACTTTTTCACAACTTCTCCTTGTTAACAATATTGCTTGCAAATATTACAAATTAATAAAAAACAGCAGGAGAGACATTCAGCTACATGCAAAACATATGTTATTCATATTTATTCATATTTTACTATATTAACATACTAATTCATGTTAGTTATTTATATTGAATACAACTCACATGTCAAAACTTTATACTCGCATAAAACAGCTATTTCAAGATTTTTATTGTAGAAGTAGGAAAATTCTCTCAAATACAATAAGAATTTTTTTTTAAATATAAGAAAAAATATTCAAGGTTTTAGCAGCAGCTATAATGGTATTTTTACAAGGTCATACAATACTAAAATATATGCAGTAGGTATTCAGGTATCTGAGTATCCGGTGCATTGATGGAAAAGTGAAAAATGATGTATTGATGGAAGAGTTAAATGTGGAAACTTATGTTCCATATATACCTACGCGATTCATATGTACACAATGGAATTATGATTCCATGACTAGCTAAGCTTTGTGTCTTTTACTGTTTTTGTTTCCATTTTTCTCTTTTTTGTTATCCAGCACTTGATGACTAATAATAAGAGATATAATTGTTAAAAATTTAAGTTCATGACAAAGGTACTATTTAAAATTAATTAAATAACTAAGACAATATAAATAAAAACCTATGTACAAACATATAAATTCTTCAAGTAAAATGTAGAATGTAAGTTGCCATTTTTTAACAACTAAGTTGTATAACAATTAATAATATGGTCGCATGTTTTAAGAAATGTATTTGTATTATATATATATGTATGTATGTGTATATGTGATAAGATTGTCATTATAATGTAATTTTCCTCTATTTCGACTATTTCGGCGACAAATTCCGTTGTATCCATTTTGCCTAATGTGTTGAGATATCTTTAAATAAATATCGTCACATATTTCATAGACAATTTATTTGATTGGATGATTGATACGTGCTTTTTTAACCGGTGTAAACGCATTGTTAATGCATGCACGGGGTAATTTTACATATTTTTAATTTTATCATTTCGACTGTCGGAGTACAAAACGATGGGTCATACATATACCTTCTGCAAGTATTCTACTAGATGGAACACAATTTGGAGATGTTTAGATTTTCACAATTCATTTTCTTTCTTTTCTTTCTTTCCTTTTTAATTCAATTTTAAACTCGTAGGTACCTTTACGTGATAGGGCATGTAATTGCTATCTCTTAATATTAGTACATGCCACCAGAGCCACCGCTGCCAAGTCCGGCTTTTGAGTCGACAGGTACTTGTTTTTGGAAACAGTCCTCCAAGAACTGTTCCATGGAGAGATACAAATGTCTCTTAACGCCTGCCAAAGTGTGACTTACATCTGGATATACCTGAATAAATCAACAAGTATGTATGTTTGTACATTTCTAGTTACACGTTATAAATTTTTAGTTATTTTTTGCAATTTGACTTTACATATTTAATAATACTAAATTTTACATCAATTAAGTTGAATTTTTACAGTAATTATTTATAATAAAGAATACAACTGTGATGACCATGAATAAACAATACACGTTTAACTTTTGTATCTTTTAATAGTTCTAATTATATTGCGATTTATGCTTTATTAATTTTATAATGGAAAAAGAAGTCTAAGACAGGTCAAAATGTTGTCCATTTATGTATTTATATTTTACTTGTATATGTATACTGACAATTGTCAGCAGGAAAACTTGCTTTAACTCTCTTCCGCCTTGTTTTTTAATATTAATACATAATTCTTAAGTTATAAAATAATGTCAAGTACCATCCAATATTTTTTTACTGACTCATTGTTAAGTCACTTGTACAAGAAGTCTTATGCAAAAATCGTCAAATTACCTGCTGTCGAAAGAGTACGCCTTCTTTAGCAAGATGACGGGCAAGTGCCATGGATTGTTGGAATTGGACATTGTCATCCGCAGTCCCGTGTATCAAATAAAACATCTTATCGTGTAGGTACTTTACTTTGTCATAAACGTTGGATTCGACATAGCCTTTGTAATTGGATGTCACATTCGGTAATCCCATGTATCTCTCAGCGTACGCAGAATCTGCATTAATAATCATTTGTGTTAAAATCAGATAATAAACGTAAATGCAGCATTAGCAGTGCAGCCAAGAATCACATTTTTAATACATATAACGGGTCTAGAGAATTCTCCTATAACATTTTCCATCCACTCGCATACTAATAAGTGAAGTTTAGCTATACCTTCATAGTTTAACAACATTCTACTTTAAATTGTAAATATAAACACTAATTGAGGTTCATTAAAGTTACAACAATATCGTTATTATTTTATCTCTTGACAAATATATATACATAGATTTGTAAATTTAATTTATAAAAATTATATGAAGTTATTTACTTATGACTCTTGAAAATGAGTAAATTTATTTCGAAAGCATATTTAATTAATGTTTGCTAGTAATATTTTATAATGAAAAAGGGTGAGAAAGAGAGAGAATTATGTGTTAAAGATTCTTTAGTCTAATCTAGAATAATTTATGTTGATCATTGTATAATTAAATTAGTCATAATATTAAAATAATTCGAAGGAATAGAGAGCTAAAAGCTGTGACAGCTCGTTAGTGTCTAAATAATGTTATTATAAATTTATTTTGAAAATAATTATTTGCTTTAAAAGTGCCTTTGTCGCATCTTATTATATTGCTTCAGTTTTGTCTATAATTGAAAACTCATTAACTGCAAATATATTTTCTGTTACTATGTACTTTTAGCATTTAAAGTATATATTTTTGAAAATTAATCCATTATCAGAGTTCCTTTATAAAGGAAGTTAAGAAGTTCGATTATACTTTCAAAATACAATAATCTAGCAATTTACAGTACCATAAAGTTCCCAGGAGACAATAGGTGCGACGCTTATTCCACACTGGAACACCTTTTGTTCTGGATGAGCCAAAACACGAGCAGCGACGAAACCGCCATAACTCCATCCCCATACGGCGACTCTTCGTTTATCCACAAAGTGCAGTGAATCCCGTAAGTACCTATATAATTATATAATCAGCGATGAAATTAAGCATCTTACAAGTTTGAATTTATTAGCGTAGTTTCAAACTCTCTGATTGCTCCAAAAAATAAAAGTAATATTTTCAAGCAGATTTCAACTTGGACAAAATATTAAGGTAATATATTAATAAATATAAAAACATATATAAAAATAAAATATTTTTTTCTTAGACCAGCGGTACTTTAGGATATACATGTGATTAGCATCTTACTTACTCTGTAACTTCGAGTTGGTCAGCCACTTCTACGGAACCCAGCCTGTAATAAACTTCGTGAAGCAATTTATAGCCTTGTCCTCCGCTTCCCCTGCCATCGATCTGTGCGACAATAACATTCCTCCGACTAGCCAAATATGTATTCCAATCCACTTTAAAGGTCTCGGTGACTAATTGTGATCCAGGAGCACCATGCCTGTAACAATAAATATTATCGTGTATAGACACCATATAGTTTATGTTAAGACTATATGTTAAGACACTTTCATTTCAATGTTGTTATAACATTAAAATTGACGTCAATGTTTGTCCATAAAATAACGTCGATCGATTACACCGTTAAAACCATAGGACATATAGTAAATATAAACTAAGCGTCCCATTGAATAAGCTGAAGCTTGTGAAGAGAGAGACAGAGAAGATGTAAGAAGACTTTTTACTCTGTCTCACCATCGTAACAAGGGAGAATCAGGCAGTATAGTACTGCGCAGGCACGATTCTTTTCTTTTACGCTGGTGTAAGACAGAGAAAGAAAGACTTCTTAAATCTTCTCTCGCTCTCTTCACAAGTTTCAGCTTATTTAATGGGACGCTCAATCTATATTTACTATGTCTATGGTTAAAACACATATTACACAACGTTACATGTTAATGAATATCATTATAATAATGTTATATTGATGTTTATTTGCTTGCTGGGCAGTGATTACTTTTGAATTTTAGATTGAATACGTGCAAAATTCGAAATGTACATTTATAAGCAGTTTCTATCATAAAGTGATAGATTCGAATCTACTTATATTTGATACACTTACACTTGAACAACTAACGGATACCGCGTAATCTCATCCTCTCTTAGCCCAGGCGGTAGATGCAATCTCACCTGGGCATTGTATCCACCACTTATTTGTACAGGAAATGTTTTCACTTGCGGAAGTGCAATGTTCGATATTCTTTCCTGTAATAAACATTTGTATGAATATTTACATTATATGTGGTACATTTTTAAGATAAAAAAAATTGGTGGATATTTGGCGATGAAAATATATTCAATAGGAATGTGGTAATTTATAACACGCGCAAAAACATACGCGTAATAACGTGTTATTCTGCAATGTTGCAATGAGTCGCGGCACGGACATTTCCATTTTGTAAAGGGCCACGGTAGGTATACCAGGTCCAAGGCACTCAAGAACGAAATATTCGAAGTCTGTGGACGGGAAGATCGCATTGTGATATTGACAAGGTGGATCGCCGCTTTCTGAAAACACAGAATGCATAGGGCCGATTAATAGAGTTATTCATACATTGAACAAATGAAATTATTACAATCCAATTGTCATTATAATATTTAAAAAATTATATAATTATAAGTTATTAAAAAGTATATGATGTGCACGTATAACACCATATCAATACATTTGATCAACAATGCATTAAGTGACATTTTTTATGAAAAAGTTATATGAATTTACAAAAATAGAAGGACCCCATGAAAGCATTCATACCCACTCCTTCGTGCAGGAGCCAAGCCACCTGCGTTTACAATGTTACATCGTGCAGCTTACATTAGGTTACAGCAAGTGAAAAAGAAACTCGAGCCAAACCAGATCTAGTCATCAACTGTTTACAGCGTTTACATTATCGCGATCTATCGTGAATAGGTCGAATATAAAGTATAAGCGGTCTGAACACGCGGTGTAAACTAAGTCATTAGAAATTACAGATTCAAAATGATTACTTGAATTTCTTTTCAACCAAAACAAAGTCTGAGATCATTATAAATATGTCTTTTCACGGTATAATCTAGAAAATTCTCCTTCTCTTAAGTAATAAAAATTTTTTAGGGACATATATCTCTTTTCACATATTTCTATCTAAATTTTTGTATTGCGTATTCAATTATGAGTGGTACTCTATGCTTTGATTCGAAATAGATATTTTAACTAACATAAATGTTTTAACAGTATTTTTATTTATTACACAATATCCTTGGAAAATATTTTAACAAATTTCAAACGTTTTATTCACGAGACATTTCACGCATGAAACGAGATACGAATAATTAATGGTAGCACTTACTTAAAACATTTCTGTTTTTCAGTTTGTCCTTTTTGGAGATATCCTTTGCTTGACGATGTTCTTTACTGTCAGTATGAATTTCATAATGATCATGCCATTCATTTCGATTGATGGGACTATTCTGCCAATTTGAAGAACTAGTTCGATGTTCATTTTCATCATTGTTCGTCATGTCGGACGAAATGGTACACGTGAGGCATATAGCGGGCCGCAAAGGCGATCCCATACGAGGAAGAGTGGCGCTTACACGATAGAGATGTCTTTGACCCGGTCTCATAAATGGAATACCGATGAAATATCTGGTTGAAACGCGAATTATTTTACAATACCATCTCACAATATTAAATCGTAAGCATTTATTTAATGGGTTTACTTGCTCACATAGTATTATTTGTTTGGTCCCATACTAAAATCCTAACAACTTCAAATTTCCCATGCGTCAAAGGCACTACTTGTTTTCGGAGTACGTTAGTCCAAATTATATGTTTGTAATATCCCGTCGGTCCATCTTTCACGGGACTTATTGCAATGTAACTGCTGCCATTTACTGAAAACAGAGGGGCTTCTGGTGGTGTATCCACCCACGCACCCTCGCCCGATATTCTTTGAATTTCCTAAAATAATAAATTAACAATTTTAACAAGTGTTAACTAAGCATACTTATTTTTCGTATTAAGGTAAAAGATTATCACATTCAATTTTTAATTTAGAAAATACTGAGAAAAATGTATTTAGAAAATAAGAATGGTTAAAATATAGACTCGTAGTAAATATAGAAATTATTAATATGAATACTATTATTGGTAAACGTTTGGAAGTCATCTAGCAGGGAAATTGCAGTTGTTTTTGTAGCAATTAATAAAACAAGCTATAAAAATATATGTACATATGGTTTCAAGGGGGAGCTTGAGATTTTTGTAGAAAGAAACTTAGATTTTTCCTACGAAAACCTCAAACTCTCCCTTAAAATCTTACGAACATGTGTTTTTGTTTTATTAATTGGTACAAAGAAAGCCGCAATTTCCCTGCTGGAGCACCACTTCCAAACATTCACCTAGATATTTTTTATTGTATATCTTGTCCGCTCTGGGGAAAAAAAAGACAGTTATAACCCATTTTGGGTCCCATCATTAGTAATCGAATTATTTGGATTGTTCGTAACTCTACTCTGGGAAAAATTTTGACCGTTTTTTGATGTAGTTAAACAACTTAACATTTCGGTTAGTGCCACTTAAGTGAAAATTATCTTTGCGTTACTGAATATCAAACAGAACTAATTGCGAGAGAATTGATTAGCATTACTTAAAAATCTTGGATATAGAGATAGAACAGCTAATTGTGATTTTTAGTTACGCGGGATAAAATTCTTAAAAGATTAGAGTTACGAACAATCTAAATAATTCGATTACTAATTGTGGGCCCCAAAATCGGTTGTAACTGACTTTCTTTTTCCCAGAGCGAAAAAAAATGGCACTTACAAACCTGACAATGCCACATTGGACTTTTGCAGATGGTAATTACTGAAAAATTTTGGGCACGCGTCAGCCATGTTATGCAGACTTCCGTCAAAGATACCCACGAAGCAGTCGAGAAATAATGGTCCCTGATAGGGAAAATAGAAGTGCATTTCAAAAACAATGTCGACAGATAAATGACAGGCGATGTGCATATACTGATTGATATTAGAAATTTTTTAAATAGCAAACATACATTTTTAAATCAATAATATTACGAGCATTCCGGTAACTTAATACAATGTGAAGAAAATTTTTGAAACGCAGTTCTTCATTTGTAACAGTGCTTTTCTTCCATTGTTCTCGACATAATAAAGATTTTAGATTTGTTGTAATAAAAATTTTAATACCCGCGTTTAACACCTCTTGTCTAATTACACATAAATACTCGTATTGCGGAGTAAAATAGCAATCTATATTACAATTTGTAATAATAAGATTGCAGCGCGAGAGTTTGTGAAAAATGAAATAATAAAACTGCATGCCAGTTTTTATACGGTAGTACTAATGAACTTACGTATGTTCGATGATTGGTGGTGGTTTCACTATTTTTGTACGAATGTTTTTCGGGTCAACTAAATCGGCAACGTACAGCCGTACAGAAGGATTTGGCGTTCCTGGCTAGTAAATAAAACACAAAGTTTCTAGAATATATAATATTCCTTTCTTTTCGTCTTGTTTAGAAGGCAAAAAGATATAAAAATAATATAAAAAAGTCTAACTGTATTGGCAGTCTTTTTTCTTATTGATTCCCGATAAAAAATGTATCAGGTTTGTATCATAATCGTCCCATGATTTAACTCTCTATTATTGTTAAAAAAAGCCTAGCTTCATACACACAGCAAAAATTATTGCAATAACTTTTCGAATATATCGCGTACCTTGGGATATCGTAGGGATCGTATATCAGGATATAACGCTTTGTTTCCCTCTCCAAACCATGAAATGTGCATCTCTTCTACGAGAGAATCATTGAACGATGCATAAAGCATCATGTGACCATCCGGCGACATCCAGAGTGCCTCGCCACTGTGCAATATTTCCTCTATAAATAACAATGAGATAATAATAATAGATAACGGCTTACTTAAGCTTTGTTAAAACTCGCGTATACATTGTCTCAATATTAAAACGTGTCCTTAAGATCTTAATTAGTTATATCTTTTCATTATGACTTTATATATGTATACTAAATTATATGAAAGTTAAGCTAGAAGTGTGTCGATAGATAATTAAGTTACATATCTTTATACCTTCGTATAACCAATCTGGTATGCCGTTAGACAATATGCCGGGTACTGCAGTGTTTGTTACGCGATATGCAGTATTGCTTAGTGGACTTGTTGTATAATAAATATCGTAGTCCTGCACCATGACGAGTCCGTGTCCGCGTGGAGTCCATTGCGCAAGTAGGAGATATGGATGCCCGACCTTTTCAGGATAAGGTGTTAATTGTATGCATTCTCTGTAAAATTGTAAACATTTCTTATTAATCCTGTTGTTAGTAACTGATGTATTATCAATACTTTGTGAGTTACACTGACCGTGTATTGAGATCATAAATGACATATTGCGCTAGGTATGAATAGTGAAATAGTTTTTTCATATTTTGAGCAAGAAGTAAGAATTTATGATCCGGCGATAGAGAGAATTTTGCCGGGTTCAATCGCCTCTGTAAAATAAAAGGTCAACATTTGTTATTCTGACAATAAACCGAAGATAATATAATTCAATTTATTCCTACGGTATTTTTAGCGAAAGACTTACGAATGTCTCATTTGGCATTAAACTACGTGATACGATGTTCGAAACATTTAACAAAGAAATACCACCCCAGATATCTCGATAACATATATGGCGATTACTCGCCCAGGATCCATTAAATAATAAAGAAGATAATTCGCCGGAGAGAACCTGAAAGATAGAAATATATCTCGTTGAGCTAATTCTATCGTATATCCAAATGTACGTAATTTAAAAAAAAACTTTTTCAGAGAAAAATGTATTGCTTCGTATTTTTCATCGAAAGTATATTTTGCTACATTTTTTCATTATAGACCATATTAATTACGAATCTATCATTACATACCTCGGAGAGACGTAATCGTGTTCCTCGTACTCTGGGACCATCATCGGGAGGTGTGAGCAAAGCTACAGATGTAACAATAAGAGCTAGGACCGCGACGATCACGAGCAACGCTATCAAAATCCCACGCCAGTTTCTTTGATTTGGATTGGATGAAACTAGCTCCTGTCACAAAGGTCTTTACTAACGCTAATGTTAAAACTGATCGAGTTATTATATGTATATACTAATAAGTAATGCGAGAGCGTTGCGAAGTACGAATAAGAGAGCGATGGCTACGTCATTGTATTACAACATAAACGTGGTGCTATCAGGTTTATCTAAAATTGTTATGTCAGACAAACTTTCGAATAACTGAGAAATTAAATTAACTTTGAAAAATTTAGAGACTTTTTTTCAATCCCAGATAGCCAGTGTGCACAAATTGCTTTTATGTTGCTAATAAATACGATTAGCGTCTTGCTACGCATTTATCATTGTACTGTTGTTTGCATTCCATGTTGGAAATAAGAGATTTACATGTTCCAAACATTACACTAGTATTAGATGCTTGATCACATTACTGATCTAGTCTCAAGCATTGAGTATTAGATATTTGGTCATATTACTAGTATTGTGTTAACATTAATTGCTTAATTATATGCCTGCTGGATAGGGTGCAAATAATTTTTTTCGTAAACTATTATCTTGAACACAAATAAATTTATATACAATAAACACGTGTGCTTATTATAAAATAAATAATAGTAGGCCCTTAGGCCCTCTGCACTTATACGGGGTGTCTTATTTTAAATGGTCCACACAAATATCTCCAAAAATATGAAAGATACGGAAAAGCGTTTCAAAGACAAGACATTTGCGTGGATCATTAAAAATAATGTGTGTAGAATAGTGCATAGCTTAAAAAGCTTGATATAAGTAAGGAGTAAGATTGACCATAATAAAACATTTTTTCTTATTTTTGTGATCCTTAATATATTTATATATTGATTAGAAGATGATGATTGTAAATAAATGGTTTAAATGATCACAGAATCTTGAAAATTCAACGGAAATCGAGTTGTACTTGGCGGAATTATATCTTTATAAATATGTCGATTACATTCTTTTTTGTATTTGATATTTGAAAAAGCGTTGAAAATTGCTGATGTTGCGATACTAGTCATGTATAGAACACAAGTCGATTGCAGGAGCTTTCATGGTGAGAGTAGCTAGTCAGCTGCTGTAGCTAAAATCAATAGGGAGGGAAGTGATGTGCTGCGCTGCGTGCGTCAATGTGTTAGGAGGAAAATGCGTATCAATATGTCACACACTTAAAAATAGGCTTTAAAACAGATACTTTTAATGATCCTAATTTTTCATATATGTAATTAAGACTATATCCTGTACCAAAACTACCGTAAAATAGTACACGTATAAGATGACTAGATAACAATTTATTATTTGCTTCCTATTGCAACGATGCATTACATATAATTGGTATAGTTAATAATCAATATCACCTTTTCTACAATTCATTTAAAGTAATTTATTGACTTTGGAAATATTTGCAAAACAAGGTTGTATTATTGATCAAGCATCTTAAGCAAAAACATTCTAGTAAAAATGTTTAAGATAAAGTAATATGTATAATGCAAGAATTAAAGGATTTTATAATTAACACAACGTGACGTTTGTCACAATCGAATATGATCATATGAAGATTACTGATTTAAAAAAAACAGATTCTTAAATGCAAATAAATATTTCATAGTGATTTTAGGATCTGAGGACAAACGTGCTAATAACTTATTTATATATAAATTTCACAGCAAATTTTTGTTTATGAAAACTTTAAGCCTATTTATTTTGTCATGTTTCACCACATTTATGTGCCCCTAACGTCATTTCAAGATAATCTACTAATACTTGTTTACAAGCAACATAAATAGAATATATAAATTGTTTTAATGGAGAACATATTATCTTTTAAGCAAAATTATAATCACGATAACATAATTTCTCCGATTATATTTGAGGTTCAAAAAAATAAATAACGAGATTTATAGAAGTTTACAGAAAACTATAATAATAAAAGTTTATGAAGAGAATTCAGATATAATATACAACCGCAAGTATAATTAATTACCTCGTCGTCGTAAATATTTTCGTGATCTGCCATTGGTGGTGCAAATCGAACGAGCCGTTGCTTTTTCTTGATCGGAAAGATCTGAAACGTGAAACGACGCGGTCCTATGCGTTTATCCCATTCGATGTTGGAAGGAATTTTTACAATCGCAATTTACTCGCTGCACAAATTTCGAATCTATAACAAGAACACCTTATTTAACACCCATAGGTGTCTTACAGCTATACTCGCATCGTATGAATTTTCGATACTGAACGACGGAACATCCCTTCCGAGAGATGCTGCAGATGTAGAGCTTGCGCATTCGACAGCGGATGCTGCGCTATACACAGACAGGTGGAAAGGGAAAGGTGGGAAAGGAAGGGAGGAAAAGAGAGAGGCGAGAGAGGAAAATGTAGAGAGAGAAAGCCGATATATAAAAATATTCTTGCGCACAGCTTAAGAGATAAAGAACAATATGTCTGTACACACACTAAGTAAATGTGACATTTTCAGTCAGGCAATTCGTTTAATATTAATTTACTATTTCTAAATTATATTACTTACAAATATTTGCTCATATAGTCGGATTATATTTTGATCAATATCAGGTTTATTCCTCAGCATAAAATTTTTAACTATTTTTCTTGTGCTCGTCGACAGAGATATTATTAAACAATGTTCATCAATCAGGAGCATTTTTTACAAGCATACGTAAATTACGCGCATGATAGTGTTTTTATTAAGAATAAACACATTCCGTTGATCAGGCCGATCAGGGCAAGAATCATTTTTTGAAAGCTATAGAAATGTCAAAACATATTCTCAGGATACAGCAGAGAAAATTTATATACAGGGTGTCCTGAAATTCGCGAATCAAAATACCATAGCAAGAAAGTCGTCGAAAAAATAAATTAAAAAGTTATTTGCCATTTTTCGTTCCGAGCAGTCGTTTTTTT